CAGACTTTGTGGAGGGGTGGACTATATTGGGGGGGGTGAACAAATTCCTATGCCCCACAAATAACCCAGAGATGCATTTTAAATAAAAGGACACATTCTACTCATGTAAAAACAAGCTGATTCCTGGACCGTCCACAGGCCGGATTTAGAAGGCGATTGGGCCAGATCCAGCCCCCAGGCCTTAGTTTGCCTATCCATTGGTTATACCTTCAGAGAAGCTGAGTACAGCTGGTTTAAACTGGTTCTGTTATCTCTTCTTCAAGGTCATGCTGACTCTAATAAGAGGCCAGAAGGAGCCTGGGTTTCACGCTTTTCTTTTTCTATCTCCATTCTTTCTGGCGTGGTGTTGTGCACATAGCATGCTTAGTGTTAAAGTTTAGTCTTATTCTAAGTTACTGTAAGTTTAAGTTAATTCTGCTGCTACTGGATTTCTTATGGATAGTGTCAATCCTGAATGTATTGGATTTGTGACCATTATGCTCATTTGCCTTCAGTAGCAGTAAAGCTCTGCTGGTTGAAATACAATTGCCTCTGGTTTGTTTTTGGGGAGGAATCCTGCAACGTGTTTAAGTTGTTACTCTGCTAACTATACATTGGAATCTACTCTGGATCACTATTGAGTAGAATTCCATGACAACATTATGCCTCTGAATACCAGTGGCTGGGAATCGCAGCTGGGCAGAATGTTCTTGTGCTCATGTCCAGCTTGAAGGCTTCCCACAGGCATTTAACAGACCACTGTGAGAACAGGATGCTGGACCGAACCCAAAGGGTGCTCATCAATGGTTCCTCTTCATCCTGGAGAAGAGTGACTAGTGGGGTGCCACAGGGTTGTGTCTTGGGCCCGGTCTTATTCAACATCTTTATCAACGACTTGGATGATGGACTCAAGGGCATCCTGATCAAATTTGCAGATGACACCAAATTGGGAGGGGTGGCTAACACCCCAGAGGACAGGATCACACTTCAAAACGACCTTGACAGATTAGAGAACTGGGCCAAAACAAACAAGATGAATTTTAACAGGGAGAAATGTAAAAGTATTGCACTTGGGCAAAAAAATGAGAGGCACAAATACAAGATGGGGGACACCTGGCTTGAGAGCAGTACATGTGAAAAGGATCTAGGAGTCTTGGTTGACCACAAACTTGACATGAGCCAACAGTGTGACCTTAGCAGCTAAAAAGCCAATGCAATTCTGGGCTGCATCAATAGGAGTATAGCATCTAGATCAAGGGAAGTAATAGTGCCACTGTATTCTGCTCTGGGTCAGACCTCACCTGGAGTACTGTGTCCAGTTCTGGGCACCACAGTTCAAGAAGGACATTGACAAACTGGAACGTGTCCAGAGGAGGGCAACCAAAATGGTCAAAGGCCTGGAAACGATGCCTTATGAGGAACGGCTAAGGGAGCTGGGCATGTTTAGCCTGGAGAAGAGGAGGTTAAGGGGTGATATGATAGCCATGTTCAAATATATAAAAGGATGTCACAGAGAGGAGGGAGAAAGGTTGTTTTCTGCTGCTCCAGAGAAGCGGACACGGAGCAATGGATCCAAACTACAAGAAAGAAGATTCCACCTAAACATTAGGAAGAACTTCCTGACAGTAAGAGCTGTTCGACAGTGGAATTTGCTGCCAAGGAGTGTGGTGGAGTCTCCTTCTTTGGAGGTCTTTAAGCAGAGGCTTGACAACCATATGTCAGGAGTGCTCTGATGGTGTTTCCTGCTTGGCAGGGGGTTGGACTCAATGGCCCTTGTGGTCTCTTCCAACTCTATGATTCTATGATTCTATGATTCTATGGACTAGATGGGCCATGATCCAGCAGGCTCATCTTATGTTCTTTAGAGTGCCAGCATCTCATTTGTACCAAGGAAAAGCACTGAGAATGATTAAAGTCTTAAGATATCCAGGTGCAGATCCATAATTAACTCACAAATATTCTTGCCACTGACTTTAAAAGGTATAAACCAAAGTCAAAACCACAGTGGCATTAGGGATAGTCCTCAGGAAGTATACCTGTTTTGGACTACGCCACTTCATCAGACTGCAGGTAAGGATCTCATGTGGCCGCCTGCTCCTCCACACAGAAAGAACTCTCTGCTTATTTTATTTTTTAAATCAAGGTCTCAAGGAGAAGGCAGCCTAGAACACTTCTCCCTGACATTTAGTTTTTAATGTGGATTTGTGTGTATGTTTGCTTTTGATTTCTCAGTTTGTGCTTTTTAAAGTCAACGGAATGGATGTTTGCAAGTGAATGATGCAGAGTCAACTTATGGGTAGCATAAATTTTCAACCATCCTATTACTCAGGCCCTAGACACGTGTGGCAAGGGTCATTAAGCTGAATAGGGAAGATAAAATATATCAACCTCCTATATAAAATATATCAGCCACTTTGTGCCTCCCCCTCTTCACACTAACTGAAAGGCCACATCTTTATGTAAGAAGCTATCATTAAAGCGCGAGAGTTAGAAAGGGGCTGTTCTCACGTAATTGGCTCACAAATTATAGACTTTCGCTGAACATTTTAATGTAAAGTTAAAGTATCTTGGATAAAAGTGGTATAGGTTACTGTTCTAGAACAGCCAGATCTGCCACTGGAAATGACAGAGTTGACTCCTTGTGTTCAAATGTCAATCGCTATTATATAGCCATGTCATGAAGACAATCCAGGGTGAGGGCAGGAAGAAACTGACCTTTCTCTGAATGTGTAAATATTTCTGCCTCTGTTCCCAGCTTTCCTTTAAAAATTACCTCAAAGAGCAGAGAGGACTTATTAATTTATTTATTTAGTATAATATAATATAATATAATATAATATAATATAATATAATATAATATAATTAATATACATCTTTAACAAGTATGGGAGACAAGATGGAAACCTGGCAGTCCAGTAGGTTAAATTATGGCTGGATCTTAAAGTAGCTCTTGTTGGGCACATTTGGGATGCCGGGGCCTTTAAAGGTCGGAAGGGGATCCTCAGGTGAGAGGATCTTTCAGGTGTGAGGGGTCTTTTAGATGCAGTAGCCTGGTGGTATTTCCTCTTTTCTTTTAAAATGGAACTAAGTATGCACCTGGGAACAGTGCTACATGATGATGAAAGCAGTGCTCCATTCTTGGCTCCATTTTCAAAGTCAGTGCAGCCAAGACCACCTGGTCAACTTGTTGAAATAATAAGTACCCTCCACCTGAAAGTGCAATTTTTTTGCTCTTTGGAAAGTCGCAGAAATCCACTTCCCACCTTTTTTCCCAGGAGAGAAAGAAGGTGATAAAGGAGGTTCATGTACAGCTCTAGCATAAGTTCCACTGAATCAAGCAGTAGGTCCCCAGGCCCACCCTCTAGTACTGGTCCTCTAGGAAGCAGTGGGAAAACAACACCTTCAATCCCCAGCCTGGATAGCTATGCAGGAGGATACAATAATTGGTGGCAACAATAGCCACTGAGAGGTCCAGGATAATTGGCAGAATTGTACCTCCCTTATAGGTCATCCATTCAGGGCATCCAAGACAATGTTGGTGCAAACACCAGGTCTGAAACCAGATTAGAATGGATCTAACTAGTTCCTGTAAGTGCATAGCAACCACCCACTCAGGCACTTTGCCCAAGAAAGGCATGTTTCATTTGCAGTTACAGTGGTGCCTCGCAAGACGAAATTAATCCGTTCCACGAGAGTCTTCGTCTAGCGGTTTTTTCGTCTTGCGAAGCAAGCCCATTGACGGATTAGCGCTATTAGCGCTATTAGCGGTTTAGCGGCTATTATAGGCTTAAAGGCGTAGTGGATTAGCTGCTAAAAGGCTATTAAAGGCTATTAAAGGCTTAGCAGATTAGATAAAGAGGAAAGCGAAAAAAACCTCAAGACTCGCAAGGTATTTTCGTCTTGCGAAGCAAGCCCATAGGGGAATTCGTCCTGCGAAGCAACTTCAAAACGGAAAACCCTTTCGTCTAGCGGTTTTTCCGTCTTGCGAGGCATTCGTCTTGCGGGGCACCACTGTACTTGATAAGTATTAACGTCCTTTGGGTTAAAGGAGAATTTCTTTAGGAGTGGGAGGGCTGGAACTAGATAATTGGCTCCTGGACCCAGCCAGCTTATCTACTCCTCCTATTCGGCTATTGATGCTGTTGGAGCTGGATAGCAATACTGGCTTACTTTCACCTTCATCTCACACCATCACAACTTTGCAAGAACCAAGTCACATAATCTTTTCCAAAGCACAAATAAACTTTCAGGTGCCAGCAGGAGGCTAACACTAGCAAAAAAGAAGGGGGGGGGAATTCTCCAAGCATATGCTCTATTTGTTCAGGAGTAACTTTGCATTCCAGGGCTATCATCTGACGTCTACATTTTCTTGGCTTTTCATCTTCTTGAAGATCACTGCAAATACTGATTTACTCAACACAGAGAGAAAACGACCTCGAGAAAGATAATCAAATAAACATTGCAATTGGAAGTTTGTGTCTCTGTGGGCTTCACACTCAGATGAACAACTCATTTTTTGGTCTGCGCTAGCATATCCCCATATTGAAAGCCAGGGAGCCATGAACACATAGCTAGCCAGCCTAAGTGAAAACTTTAGACAGAGTGCTCTGTGCAATGGCTGAGTCTATTTTTAAACTTACAAAGTCAACAATATTTCTGTATCTGAAATGGTATTTGTTTCAATCATATTCTGTAATGGAACAATCCAGACATGCTAAGCATAAAAGTGACATTATTCATTAGAAGAAATGGGTTGAGTTTCAGTACTCCCTGCCAAAGGAGCAAACACAGACAATGGGCAGGTCTTGCTTAAATAAGGAGCTTAGGCAGCTGAAATTGGATTCTCCTACTTTATCTTCACAAAAAACCATGTGAGGTACAGCAGGGTGGGAAATAGTAACTAGCCCATATGCTTCATGGATAAGAAAAGATTTCACCCTCACTCTCCCAACTCCAAGCCAGATATCATACCCACCATACACACTGCCTCCTATTTACATTGAACTCAGTTTCTGAGTGATCCCTTCATGGATCACTGCCTTGCCGTGGCAAAGGGGCTTGAATAACTCAGAGAAGCTATGAGCTATGCCGTGCAGGGCCACCCAAGATGGACAGGTCATAGTGGAGAGTTTTGACCAAACATGATCCACCTGGAGCAGGAACCGGCAAGCCACTCCAGTATCCCTGCCAAGAAAACTCCATGGACAAAGACAACAGGCATATAAAAGTTATGACGCTGGAAGATGAGCCCCTCAGGTCGGAAGGCATCCAACATGCTACTGAGGAAGAGCGGAGGACAAGTACAAGTAGATTCAGAGCTGATGAAGCGGCTGGGCCAAAGCCAAAAGGACGCTCAGTTGCGGATATGCCTGGAAGCGAAAGGAAAGTCCAATGCTGTAAAGAAAAATATTGCATAGGAACCTGGAATGTAAGAACCATGAACCTGGGTAAGTTGGATGTGGTAAAAAATGAGATGGCAAGAATAAATATTGACATCCTGGGCATCAGTGAACTAAAATGGACGGGAATGGGCGAATTCAGTTCGGATGACCATCACATCTACTACTGTGGGCAAGAATCCCGTAAAAGAAATGGAGTGGCCCTCATAGTCAACAAAAGAGTGGCAAAAGCTGTACTGGGATGCAATCTCAAAAATGATAGAATGATCTCGATACGAATCCAAGGCAGACCTTTTAACATCACAGTAATCCAAGTTTATGCACCAACCACTGGTGCTGAAGAAACTGAAATTGACCAATTCTATGAAGACTTACAACACCTTATAGAAATGACACCAAAGAAGGATGTTCTTCTCATTATAGGGGATTGGAATGCTAAAGTAGGGAGTCAAGAGATAAAAGGAACAACTGGCAAGTTTGGCCTTGGAGTTCAAAATGAAGCAGGGCAAAGGCTAATAGAGTTCTGCCAAGAGAACAAGCTGGTCATCACAAATACTCTTTTCCAACAACACAAGAGACGACTCTACACATGGACATCACCAGATGGGCAGCATCGAAATCAGATTGATTATATTCTCTGCAGCCAAAGATGGAGAAGCTCTATACAGTCAGCAAAAACAAGACCTGGAGCTGACTGTGGCTCAGATCATCAGCTTCTTATAGCAAAATTCAAGCTTAAACTGAAGAAAGTAGGAAAAACCACTGGGCTGGTAAGATACAATCTAGGTCAAATCCCTTATGAATACACATTGGAAGTAAGGAACAGGTTTAAGGATTTAGATTTGGTGGACAGAGTGCCTGAAGAACTATGGATGGAGGCTCGTAACATTATACAAGAGGCAGCAACTAAAACCATCCCAATGAAAAGGAAATGCAAGAAAGCAAAGTGGCTGTCCAACGAGGCCTTACAAATAGTGGGGGAGAGAAGGCAAGCAAAATGCGAGGGAGATAGTGAAAGATACAGGAAATTGAATGCAGATTTCCAAAAAATAGCAAGGAGAGACAAGGAGGCCTTCATAAACGAGCAATGCAAAGAAATAGAGGAAAACAATAGAATGGGAAAAACCAGAGATCTGTTCAAGAAAATTGGAGATATGAAAGGAACATTTGGTACAAAGATTTCCATAATAAAAGACAAAAGTGGAAAGGACCTAACAGAAGCAGAAGACATCAAGAAGAGGTGGCAAGAATACACAGAGGAACTATACCAGAAAGAAATGGATGTCTCGTATACCCCAGGTAGTGTGGTTGCTGACCTTGAGCCAGACATCCTGGAGAGTGAAGTCAAATGGGCCTTAGAAAGCATTGCTAATAACAAGGCCAGTGGAAGTGATGATATTCCAGCTGAACTATTTAAAATTTTAAAGATGATGCTGTTAAGGTGCTACACTCAATATGCCAGCAAATTTGGAAAACTCAGCAGTGGCCAGAGGATTGGAGAAGATCAGTCTACATCCCAATCCCAAAGAAGGGAAGTGCCAAAGAATGCTCCAACTACCGCACAATTGCACTCATTTCACACGCTAGCAAGGTTATGCTTAAAATTCTACAAGGCAGGCTTAAGCAGTATGTGGACCGAGAACTCCCAGAAGTGCAAGCTGGATTTAGAAGAGGCAGAGGAACCAGAGACCAAATTGCAAACATGCGCTGGATTATGGAGAAAGCTAGAGAGTTCCAGAAAGACATCTACTTCTGCTTCATTGACTATGCAAAAGCCTTTGACTGTGTCGACCACAACAAACTATGGCAAGTTCTTAAAGAAATGGGAGTGCCTGATCACATCAACTGTCTCCTGAGAAATCTCTATGTGGGACAAGAAGCTACAGTTAGAACTGGATATGGAACAACTGATTGGTTCAAAATTGGGAAAGGAGTACGGCAAGGCTGTATATTGTCCCCCTGCTTATTTAACTTATATGCAGAATTCATCATGCGAAAGGCTGGACTGGATGATTCCCAAGCCGGAATTAAGATCGCCGGAAGAAATATCAACAACCTCAGATATGCAGATGACACAACCTTGATGGCAGAAAATGAGGAGGAATTAAAGAACCTTTTAATGAGGGTGAAAGAGGAGAGCGCAAAATATGGTCTGAAGCTCAACATCAAAAAAACGAAGATCATGGCCACTGGGCCCATCACCTCCTGGCAAGTAGAAGGGGAAGAAATGGAGGCAGTGAGAGATTTTACTTTCTTGGGCTCCATGATCACTGCAGATGGTGACAGCAGTCATGAAATTAAAAGACACCTGCTCCTTGGGAGAAAGGCGATGGCAAACCTAGACAGCATCTTAAAAAGCAGAGACATCACCTTACCAACAAAGGTCTGCATAGTTAAAGCCATGGTTTCCCCAGTAGTGATGTATGGAAGTGAGAGCTGGAACATAAAGAAGGCTGATCGCCGAAGAATTGATGCTTTTGAATTATGGTGCTGGAGGAGACTCTTGAGAGTCCCATGGACTGCAAGAAGATCAAACGTATCCATTCTTAAGGAAATCAGCCCTGAGTGCTCACTGGAAGGACAGATCCTGAAGCTGAGGCTCCAATACTTTGGCCACCTCATGAGAAGAGAAGACTCCCTGGAAAAGACCCTGATGTTGGGAAAGATGGAGGGCACAAGGAGAAGGGGACAACAGAGGACGAGATGGTTGGACAGTGTTCTGGAAGCTACAAACATGAGTCTGACCAAACTGTGGGAGGCAGTGGAAGACAGGAGTGCCAGGCGTGCTCTGGTCCATGGGGTCACGAAGAGTCGGACACGACTAAACGACTAAACAACAACAACAGTTTCTGAGGTGAATGTCTGAGTGAGCTATGTTTCAAATTCAGGTGTGTTCTCTTTGTAAAAAAAATACAGCTGCTTTATTAAGCATCAGTCTAAAGCTTTCCCCACCCCCCACCCCCCAAAAAAACCTATTGGGGTTTTTTGGAAATACATTTGGAAATCTGAGAAAATGTCATATGCATCACAAACTATCCATTTCTCAGCGAGAAAACTGGATGGTGCTCAAAGAAACGTACATTCCCCGAAACAAAAAACAAAACAACCTCAGAGGCAAAACACTCCCCTTCCAAAGACATATTCTCAATCATACAAAACAAAATAGGTGACACCCACGCCCTGCAATGAAACAAAATAGGCAAAACACATCCACTGAATCAAACAAACAAACAAGGAGAAATAATCCCTCCCAGCACAGGGGAAAAAGAAGGGGAGACAAATGAAAAAGCAGGCGTCCCCTTCCCCTTGAAAAAACAAGCAAAGTTTACACACCCAGGTCATGCCTCCATCCCCAAACATACCAGGCATGTCAGAGTATGCAAAGGGCATCCCAGCAGCTCTGCCCTCTTCCACTCCAATGAAGAGTGTCTTTGGGTCCACATGAGGACCAGAAAGGCAATTTAGATAAAGGAAGGGAAGAGGGCAGGGTAGCTAGAGGCCTGTATGTTTCTTTTCAGCCACCACAACTGCAACCCAAGTTAAATAAACCCAACCCCATGTAAAAAAATAAAAAAATAGAAATCTGGATTTGTACAGGTGCCTTTGCAGCTGCTGGGGGAGTGTCTGTGGATGCCATCTTGGAGACCCCACACTCAAGGCTCAAGGAGTTGCGTGTGGACTCAAGTGATGGAGAGTGAAGCTGATAAAATGTTTGCACACTTCTTTGCATTTCTCAAGGAAATTCCAGTTTTGGTCTCATTTAAGTTGAAATTGGTATATCTATGGTGAGAAGATACAAAACAGCAGTTCAGTCTATAAATTCATTTCCCTCCTATAGCTTAGAAAAACAGCTGTTTGGGAAAGCTGAGCTCATAATTGATGGGAACGTCCTTTACTTGGTTTCAGTTGGCTTTAAAAGGCAAAGAAAAATATCCTTTTTGCAATTTCCCCCATTTGACTGCAAAGAAGATAAGTGAGAAGGCTTGGCACTAACTATATATTGCTGCTTCGGTAATATATAGTTTGTGTTTGCTCAGATGAGGCACCAACTGGAGATCAGTTTTAAAATTTATAATTTATTTATTTTCCAATAAAAGCAAACAAATTGCCTTTACATTAGCAAAGGGCTTACAGCATGCAAAAGGCATTTCCAATTGTATCATCTATATTTAATTCCTCCCTTTCAGCATTCGGGAAGCTGAAACCATCTTTGACCAGCTGGAAATCCTACACCATAAACATTTCTCCCAACACAAAGAGAAGTCTAAAACACTTCTTGGCACCAAGCTCTGATTGATTACCTAGCATGATTAATTCATTAACCACATTCAAAATCTATATTTTAATCAAATTCTAATTAGAGCTGGTCTCTAGTTATCACAGCTAATGGAGTATTCCAGCTCCCAGTGTGTGTGGTGCTGTGCTGTGAATAAGGCCGGATTGTCATCAGTGGAAAGTGAGCCGTGTCAGTACCAGGGACAGCTCTGCCGTTGGACAGAGGGAAGCTGCTTCCTCAGACAGCAAATGCTAGCGAGGGAAAGATGCTGGGGAATACTGCTATATATGGCCACTGCTAAACTCCCTAGGGCAGGAGTAATGAACATGATGCACACAAGATGTTGTTGGAATGTAATTTCCATCACCCCCAGTGTAACATAGCAGTGTAGATGATCAAGTTGAGAGACCTGGGAGGCGAAAGAGTGTATGGCAACAGTCATATTTTTGGGTGAATGTTGTCATACAGGTTTTTGCAACAGTCATTAAGGAAATGAGTTCATGTTATGAATGCGAGCCTCCAGGACTCTGTATCTGGCCCTCGGGACTTTCTCCAAGCCATGCCCCTCTCCCAGTTGCACCCTCCTCGATGTCAGGAGCCAGAGTTACTGGTACTGTACGTCAGCAATAAAACACACAGTGTCGGTGAAGTTAACTCTTTATTCAAAGAAATCAAAACAGCGCAAACCTAGTGGTCACAGCAACCTTTCACAGTAGGCCTAGCCCCAATGAGGCAGTTGCGAGGACTGAAGGTCTCTGCCTTCCCACCACTCTCTAAGGCTCCGCCCATGGTTCCCTTCCCCTGCATTGCCCTGCACTCTTCATTCCTCTCTGTGTTCTGGGAGACCAGGAGGGAGGGGAGCTGGTTACAGCAGGAGGGGGAGACTCCCAGAATTTTCAGCGTCCTTCCTCCTCTCTCTCTCCTGGATCCCCTCCTCCTGCCTCTGAGGGTGAACTGCCCTCTGCCCCAGCCTTTTCCTGCTCACTAAATCCTGTCCCCTTTTCTGCTGCTGACCCCTTCTCCCCACAGTCTCCTCCCTCTTTTCTCTCTGAACACTCACTGTTGTCCCACCACAAATTCCCTGGCTCTGAGCCTTCTTCCCCTGGAGGTTCCCTTGGGGGCTCCCCAGCTGGTGCCTCTCCCCACTCTTCTGCATGCAGCCGGTCCATGACACTGAGTCTTTTTACCTGGCTGGAGGACTCTGCTACTGCAACTTCTTGCTTGCCCTGGACAGGGAGGTGTGTGTACAGCACAGTAGACTACCTACAAAGGTCAAATTTGTATGTTTGTCGTTCCACCCACTTTTGCCTCACCATAGGCATGTGGCCCCCAGAAAGCGGCCCAGCAGGGAATGCTGCCCTCAGACTGAAAAAGATTTCCCATCTGTGAACCAGATGGATCTTTGGTCTGATCTAGCAAGGCTCTGCTTCTGTTCTTGAGCTTGTCTTGTGACTCTGAAAAAATCTCCCAGGCTGTTTGGATGATGGAGAACAGCCCTGCCATGCATTACACAACCCCACTTGCTTTATATTTATCATCTCAACAAATGTGGTAAAGGAATCTGGTGCAATTGGTTTGATGAAGGATCACACAGCAAGGGGGAAATTAATCAGAATAACAGGGCCGTTTCAGAAATGTGTGAGAAACAGCAGATTTGTTACTTGGGGGAAAACATACTCTCCTTCATACAATGTTTTATTTAGAAAATTTGCAAATTAAGCCAGAGAAACAACATTAACAATTAATGGGGCACATTAAAAGCAAATTCGTTTGATAGTGGGCTGCAGTTTCCCCAGCGGCAACTGCCGAGTTGGAAAAATTAGGCGAAAATGAAGCTGATATTTCATGGCCAATAAAGCAGCTCCTACATTGCCATTATCAAAGGGCCTGGGTGATTCTTGAACTAATCTACAACTGTCTTCCTCACTTTAGGTTTCCTAAACTATCCAGGAGAACTCATTGCCCTCGCTGCCCTACCCAAAATACACATCTAAAAACTTTTGTCGATTCTAAGGAGCACTTATCCAACACCTTAAACTACTGGGGGAAATGCAAATAAAGCAGATCCTTTTCGAGATGCCTTTTCTCTGTAGAACAAGACACGCCTATCTTTCTTGAGATAAGGACCTGGCCTTCACACAGAGCTTCAAAAGGAATAGGAATGAGGCGCAAGAGTGCTGAGGTGGCACACTGGACTGCGCCACTTGAAAATGCAAGTTTGGAAGTTTTGAATGTTCCACATAAAGTAGAAAGCTATCACACTGGGTAGAAAGAATTTAGCCCACACTACTTCCTACTCTATTAGGTGTGTGTCTCTCTGTGTGCGTACGCTTTCCTTTCCTTTCCTTTCCTTTCCTTTCCTTTCCTTTCCTTTCCTTTCCTTTCCTTTGCTTTGCTTTGCTAGGTCTGGGGTGCATATTTTAAGGTTGTTTGCTCACCTGCATTTTTAAATCTTGAGTCACAATCCTATATAGAGTATAAAAAGGGCCCTTGGGTTTTGAAGGCCTCCCTGTCCTTGGGTGGAACAGGAGGTCTAACCATGAAGCTTCCTCATTGTGGCTGTGGAAACCTTCATGCTTCAGTGGTGGTACCAAAAGGCTTGTTTACAAAGCCATTGTGTAGCACCCTGCTTGTGGTTAACGCTTAGCTGGAATGAAATATTCAACGCAGCAATAGAGAAATTAAAATAATAATTTATTTGTCAGACAAATAAATGAGAGACACCAAAGCTCTGCCTACTCCAGCCCTGATGGCCAGCACTTATATTTCCTCAGCCCAGCCCCCTTGCTCCTCCTTTGGCTGCCTCTATCCAATCAGCCTGGTTGAAATTCCTATTGGTTGTTTGCTAGAACCAATCATAAAAGATACACCCATTTCCTATTTCCTTTTATGGGAGACAAAGAGCTATATTTCCTTGTATCCATAAATGGCAGACAAGTAGCCATATATCTTACATTTACCTCGACCAGGCACCTCAATTACCAGATAACCTTTGGCCCCTGTTGCCCTATTCCCTGCAAACCAGATGGCTAAAGCAGATGGTGCATGGTTTTTCATTTTTTGTATCTTAAAGAGATCTTGAGTTCACCTTCTCACCCACCATAATAGGAATCTAACATAAGAATCTAACATTTCTTACTTTCTAAATCCTTTGCATAATTACATTTAAGCCAATATATTTCATACATAACATAGATAGATTTTTAGAAGGAAAGGCCTTTTCAAATTAAAAGGAATTTAGTAAAAGCTAAGTTCCTAAGTTCTCTAAATTCTCTGAAGCTTCAGAACAGCTTGGAGAGAAGCCTTTTTTCTAACCAGCTGCTGTTCCTAAAAGCAACCTCTTGCAATTTAACCTTTAACCTTATGGCTCGAGTCTTCTGTTAAACAATAAATTTCACTATTTACCAGCTCTTAATTGTGTTTTTGCAGCTTGATTGTATTCTGGTCAGTGTGACCTTTTTGCTCTCAGCCTGTAATTTCCTTTTACAACCCTGAAATACTTTTTACAACCCTGAAATACTGCTATTTATAGCAGTGGGGCCCTTGAACAGCTGCCAGAGTATTCAGCT